ACTACGCACCAAGTACCTGTGTTCGGAGCACTTTATATAATGAACCCATCTGACCCTCCTTGCAGCTTCCAGCTAGTAGGTAGAGGGCCAAGGATACACACTCTGCTAGCCTGGGGCCAGGGTCGGGGGGCCTCCCCACCACACCACACTGCCTCTTCTCAGCCTGCACCTCTCCCAGGCAGGGTATTTAACCACGTCCTGGACACCCAGCTCCTCCGGGGCACCGCAGGCAGCTTAAACCAAAGCCCCAACAAATATCACCCCCGCCTCTCCCAGCCCCCCTTCCCCTTCCTCATGTCCCTTTGCTCCGGTCTTTCCAAACACCTACTGGTGTCTGAAAGATTAAATACTGTGCTAAAAATGGGCCACTGCCCTGGCAGGTGGGGCTCAGTGGGCTGGCACTAAACGGAGCCAGTTGGATTCCAGGTCAGAGCACATGCCCCAGTTGTGGGCTAGATCCCCAGTAGGTGGCATGCAGGAGACAGCCGATCGATGTTCCTCTATCATATCAATGTTTCTCCCTCTTTCCCTCTCCCTTCCTCTCTCTGTAAAAATCAATAAAAATATTAGAAAAGAAAAGGGCCACGAAGTCAATGAAACGGATGCATCTTTACCCCAAACGGAGCTCAAATCTAGTGTGTGGGGGAGACAGACATTCATGAAGCAAGCTATTGATAACCAATTAATCAAAGAAAATTATGACACAAAAATTATGTCATTTAAAGCTGAGACCTAGAGAATGAGTTAACCAAGCAAAGGATGTGTGTGCTTGAGTGTGTGAGTGTGGGCTAGAGTGTGTGTTTGAGTATGTGCTTTGTGAGTGTGTGCTTTGAGTGTGTGTTTGTGCAAGGGGGGTCTCCTTGCACAGGGAATATCATGTTAACGGGACCAGTATCCAGCACACACATACAACTGAAGCACATGTTTCCTGAAACAATACTTGACTATGTGAGATGTCCTTGGATATTTTATTTATTTTATTTTTTAAAATGCTGGTGACAGCTCATTACATTGATTTTACAGTGACTCACCGCTCTAGTTGGCCTGCTCCTCTTGTTTCCCTAGACGAGCTGTTTCCCCAGCATCAGAAGTGTTTGTTCCCAAGCCTGTTTGTGCCACTAGTATTTCTTATTGTAATTAAGGAATTTAATTCATGCCTTTTACCAATAAAATATGAGCGGAGGGGAGCAAGAATTCTTATTTTTAGGAAAACTAAGCTGAAAGTGTGGGAAAGACTAGTGGGAGTGAAACACTTGGGAACCAGTCTCTCAGATTGGAGTGACTGCCACAATTGTCTGTCAGCACCTGTCACAACGCCTGGCACTTCATGGTCATCCATACAACAGCTTAGCTCTGTCCAGCCCTTACCTTGGCACGTGAGTGTGCCAAGTGCGTTTCTTTATTCTTTCTTAATCCTCGTGGCAGCTCTCTGATGTAGTTACTGCCTTTATTCCCATTACAGATGACAAAGCTGAGATTCAGATGGGTGATGTATCTTGCTCAGGATGGGACGAGTCAGAGTGGAAACTTAGACCCTGAGCGTCTGACTCTAACACCTGGATTGTCACACGGTCGCCTCGGACACCAGGAAGGAGTAAGCGGACACCCTCCCTGCCTGGGGTTTTTCACCCCCTTCCCTCACAGCCCCAACTGGCAGGCGAAGTGAAGGAAGAGCAGTTTCCATGGCAACGAGCAAAGGAGGGAGAAACAGTTTCTTCTGAATGAAAAGCTCTTTCCTGCTGCCTCATGGGTGAGGGGAGGTAAAGGGGGGCGGGGGGGGCACACCTGCAT